GTGTAGAAACCAAGAGAAGTGAGGTGCTGCTCCTCATTGCAGGTGGCAGCATGCTGTGTTTCTTTCTTGGGAGTTTTAATTTCACTTCTCAGTCACGGGTATTTATGCAACTCCATACTCTTCCATAATCCTATCGGACCAGGGTGTGAGGTCCCGGATCGAGGGATTTTGCCTGTCGGGTCAAGGTGTGAGAATCCCGAGGCGAAGGATTTTGCATTTTGAGGGCGAGAAAAGATGATTGATGGTCAGTGCATACCCAAAGGTGGACAGGTGCAACAATGCAGAGATGGAAAAAGGATGGTTCGCAATTAGTTATTTGGTTGTGGACTGGTGGGATTCATCTTTTAGGCAACACATCAATGGCAACATCCACAAACTCACAACACACATTATTAAAAACAAGAACCTTTGGCCAAGGATCTTGTGGTCCAATGACACCAAGTTATTCCCTTAAGTGGGAGGTTGTGAGATTGAACCTTGTAATAGAGTCTATTCAAGAAACAAAATTGATGATTCAATAATGTCACTTCTTGTGGAGGAGCTTTAGGGTTGAGATTCAACATTTTGAAAGTATAATGTCTCGCTTCTTGTTGTTTCCTTGCATTTTGTCACCTACCATACCAGGAATCCTTTAGCAGTTCCTTATGTTAATGGTACAAACAACATGGAATTGTCAAAACTGATATTTATATTCATTGTTTAGCTTGAGATTTGTGAGTTGATCAGTTCATCAGTTGGTATATCATAGTTGTGTGGGACATTTTAGCAGCAAAGTTATAAAATAAGAACAAATTAACATTTTTTCTTAGGTGACCAGGGAAATCCGTAGTGGGTAAATTATGCTCGTGTTATTGTCTGCAAATCATGTAGGACACTAGGACTTAGGAGATACAAATTGTATTATAAAGATCTTGTGTGACTGACTTGACTAAAAAAGTGTTGGCAAAAACTGCACTAGAAAGACCATGTGCTATGAGCTCAATCAAAAATGTATTAACAAAAATCAAACTCGTCATCTTCTGATATGAGAACCATACTCAACTAACCCTTTTTGAGGCAACAAATAACATTTTTGACTCACTCAAACATTATCATTCTTGGCCAAGTGTGTCTTTTAACTTTAATTATGAGGGAAAGTGATTGCAATTCGGTAGGAAAAGAATAAGGTGGAATAAAGTAGAAATTCAAATTACGTTGTTGTTTGGTAGGGAGAAATATAATTACTGGAATTGAGAATGAAAGAAGTGGTATAAGGACTAAAATACTCTCATGTAATAATAATAGTAATAATAACCAAGGGTGGTAGTGTCGTTTCATCTAATTTTCCTTTCTCACATCCATTGAATTGCAATTCATAGGGGTACCTCATAAATTACAATTCAACTAAATGATGGAATTGCAATTCCATCTAATCAAACAATGCAATTCACCATATTCATTGAATTTCAATTCTTTTACAACCAAATTACAGTGTACCAAACGGCGTTTGGAATTTCATCTCGTTTTCATGTAAGAATGGGCAGAAATATATACTTAATTCTCACTTCAAATGGAAAAGGATAATTCCCATTTTCTAAGAGATCAGATACCAAATAGATGGACTAGACTTTTAAGTTTCAAACAAGTTAAGTCCAAATTCATAATCAGAATTCATTGTACAACTTCTTACTTAATTTGTTTTTAATAGCATTGACTAAAATATTGAAAATATAAGAGTAAAATTAATCAATAAAAATGTTTGAAATAATTAAACGACCCAAATTAATTATTTATCAAAATAAGGGGTAACAATAAAATAATATTGAACGATAAAGTGATGTTAAATTCTTTCTATAAATTGCTCGTGACCTCGTGTATTTATAATGAAAAGGAATCCGTCCCCTTTTAAATAAAGTGTTAAATACTTATACTAATTATACTTAATGATATTATAAATAACGGTTAAGTGAATTGAGAGTTTTGTAATAACTTTATGGACTCCGCAATACTTAGGTGCGGTCTCAGCCTGTGGTTCTAATCCTTCACACCCAAGCTTTTGATGATCCAACCATATTGATCTTGAGGACGAGCTTTGGGTCATCAGGTCATCTTAAGTTTACTTCATTATATATATTTTGTCTCTATAAACTTCTTTTTTTTTTTTTTTTTTTTTTTTTGGGTGCATAAAGTCTAAGATCTCTATTAAAACAAGAAAAGACAAAATTGATACGTTTAGTGTTTTATTAATCGTGAGTGATTTGTAATTATTATTAATTATTTATGGTGTATTATATTTAAAGAAACTTATAATGATATAATATGGATAAATCATGTAACACGTGTATGTGGAATACAATGCAAATTGCAAAACCATAGAGCACGTGGATATTGAATAGGCGGGACATGGTAGCGTGTTGGTGTAGAGCCGTGTAGACATCTGGATTCTGGACAAACATTAAGCGATCAAGACAAACCAGTACAAATATAATCTTTAACCATCCATAAATATATACTTACAATAACGTGTCTTTATTTTTTTTTTTTAACTTTTTTTTTTTGTAAATAAATGTTGATCGATAATTCAATATTGATATTTTTTATATCGAGTATAAATATGTATATTTTAGTGGGTATATAAGATGTTGTGAGGGTAAAGACGAAACAAGAGTTGAGAGTAAGTTAATATTTGATGTGGTAAATATGGTTATGTCTATGAATATATATGTACCATTCGTGAGATCGGATCATTAGTATAGATAAATCTTTAGTAGTTTACTTATTAATCTAAGTTTAGAACTCGGGTAAGGTAATGGCGTGAGGGCATACGATTCCGAGTTGTAGTGTGGTAGGTAGAAATGTCAAAAGTTTCTTTCTTTGCATTTAATGTGGCATTTAAAGTAGAGGAAAAGGGAACACATGCCGGGCACCCGGCATGCTTGCCACATGTCGCACATGCAACCGGTTAGCTTGTGAACAACGTCTGCCAGACACGTGTATCGATATTCCTGACTACCCAATTAGGGATATGGTCGGGTTATAGTTAGGAGCCTAGGTCCAAATCCACAAGTACCCCTGCTCGGGATGACCATTTCAACTTAAACGGGTCGGGGTTGATCTCAGGACATGAAGTACTACTGCGATTATTGTTTAGCTCGGGCGACGCATTTAGGTAAGGAATATCGAGCTAACTGGTCGGTAAAGGGCGGGAATGATTCTTCTCGTCGACCCAACCGGATACCAAGCATGTGTACGGTTCGTAGGAGAGGCAAGCTCAAGGAATATTCTCTATCAATCCTAAAAGTATTATGAGTGAATGGGTAGTGTAATTGGGTTTCGGTCAATTAGAAGATCATTTGACAAAGTTGACATTGGACAACGGAGCTAGGTGTTTAGGTCAATTGTTCTATGTGGTAGTTGCTTATGTGATGATTGACTAAATGGCAGCTAATATGACATTTTTTACTAACAATTATCCGGTTTATTTACCTTTTTTTTTTTTTTTTTTTACCTTTATGACCGATAAGTGGAAGTAAGCCTACATCGTCGGTGTTATCAGGTCAACACAATTACCTTATAGCCTCATCAATGACTATATTCTCATTAAAATATACTATTTGTCGATTGGAATAATAGTTATTAATTAATGGTTGCTATTTGCTTACCAATGTTAAGGACCAATGAATATAATTTTAAAAGTTATAAAACAACTCAATCTTAAAAATGAAAAACTCAAAATTAATGTGTTATAAAAAACTAAGTAATTTATATCACAGTAGAGTAATTTTTTGGGGCACACCTCATAAACTAATCAACTAAAAAAAGATAAATTCATAAATTTTAATTTGTTAGTGGTTGCATAATACATCAACACGTTAATTAATGTTAGAGTTTTGCAATGCAGAAATTTAGGCTGAATTTGTTGACTAATTGGTCATAATATATTACTTGTATTTTTTTCTTACTCTAGAAATTTGGTCAAAGTATAGAAGTTAGCCTGAATATGACCAAAGAAAAACTAAAAGAAATTTTAAGGCTAGACTTTCATCTTGTACTCTATAAAAATCTTAAGTATTCTTTGTGTATCTTTGTAGTAAAATACACACACACACACAAGTAATATATATATATATATATATATATATATATATATATATATATATATATATATCAGCTCAAATGTAGTCATGTCTTAACGTGCGGTCAGTGCAGCCGCATCATTACATATGCAAAAACGTATCAATAGTGTTAGAAAACACACACCAATGAAACGCACTACACACCAAAAAAAAAAAAATGCACCATACCTTCCCGCACTTAATGGTGCGTTTATACATACCTAATAGTGCATTTTTTTGATGCATTGATGCATTTTTTTGTTGTGTGTTTCTAAACATTATTGGTGCGTTTTTTTCATATCTAATGGTACAACCGCATCGACTGCACGTTAAGGCTTGACCGCACTGAAACTTGACCATATATATATATATATATATATATATATATATATATATATATATATATATATATATATATATATATATATATATATATATATATATATAAGCCTTTAATCATTAAATGTTATGTATTGACATTAAAATATAATTATTATACAAGAATATAATACACAAATATTTTGCAATGAATATAATATTGAGTATATAACTTAAAATACATAAAAGAAGGACACAATTTATTAAATTATTCACAAAATCATAGCTAAAGTTATATACTAGTGTGAATGAAGTGGGAATACATAATAAGAATAATAATAATACAAAAAAATTATTCTATTTCTTTTTTTTCTTATCCGTCAACTCTCTACGTGGTTGATTCCATGAATTTGCTTATGATATTGTATACACAAGATTTCAAGAGAAATACAAAAAAGAATAAAAATATAAAAAACCAAAAAACAAAAACAAAAATAATGTTTCACATGAAAGTTTCGTATGCGTGCAAATGTTTTTTTTCTTTCAGAGCCACCTTTGTCCCTAGCGATATAATATGGCTAGTGAAGTAGGCCCGATAAGGTACGGTGGCTAAAACGGACGATCCGAAGAATCCACCTTTCTCTCTCTTCTTTCTCTCTCATCTGCTCATCTTCTCTCTAGACCCAGTAAAATATTCACAAAAACGAAAAGGAAAAAAAAAAGAAAAGAAAAACAACAATTACAGAAAAGGAAAGGTTTTGTTCTGTTGTTTTTGCTGTTCTTTGGATTTCTCAGGTAGGAGGAGATCGTCTGTTTCTGGGTGCTGTTTACTGATCAATGGAAGCCATTTAAGCTCTGTATCAGGTAAAGATTTTATTTATTTATTTTTTAAAAATTTTCTGGTTTGAAATTTTGGAAAGAAATCGTAAAAATTGAAGCTTGATCAAGAAGGATATACGAGTGTATATTGGAGTTGTGTATTTATTTGTGTTTTTTTTTCGTTGTTCGACAGAGCTCATTTTGGGAAAGGAGGAAAAGGGGGAATACTTTAAAGTAGGGGAAATCTTTGACAGAAGCTTGGTTGAGAGGAATCATGGCGGTGGTTGAGAATGCTGCGTTTAACGGCGTCGGCTCATCGAATGGCAGCGGCGGCGCGAATGTGCAGAACGGCGGCGTCGCTGCTGCTGCTGATCATCATCATCACCACCAGTCAGCCAAGACTAATCAGCGGTCAACTGAGCCCAGGGATCAGAATTTCCAGATGATGCAGCAGGAGGGCGGCGACGGAACTCAGAGAATGAACGGTGTGGATTCGAGGAGGAATGGTGGGGAGATTGACGAGGGCGGCGATGGTGGCGAGGAAGGGTTTAAGAGGGAGAAAGAAATGAGGGATTTGGAAGAGATGCTGTCCAAATTGAACCCCATGGCGGAGGAGTTTGTGCCGCCGTCTCTCAGTAGCGCTGGCAACCACAGACCCGTGCTGCTCCCGCCAGGTGGAGGAGGGCATTTTGGGTATGATGCTAGCAATTTTGTAGCCCTGCAGCCTCCCTCGGGCCTCCCCAATGGGAGTTTCATTAGAAGGGTAAATATGTAGCAATCAAGAATTTGATTTTCCTTTGTTATGATTAGTACTAGTTCTTGTATTTGTGGATGGTGATAAATTTAAGCATTCGATATTATTTGTAGAAGAAGAATGGGTATAGTAATGCGAAGAGAAGGCTGAATAACCGGACAAGCATGGCCCAAAGAGACGAGGTTATAAGGAGAACGGTTTATGTATCTGACATTGATCATCAGGTAAAGAATGAATTTTTGATAAGCTGTGTTTGTACCTTTATAGTTTTCTCCAAAAATGTTTGAGGATTCGTGTAAATGTAGGTTACTGAAGAGCAGCTTGCTGGGCTGTTTCTGAACTGTGGCCAGGTGATTAGCCATCCTTGTACATGGACACTTTTTCGCTACTATCTTTTTGATGGAATTTTCGCTTTCTAATTGCCTTTTGGTGCTGAAGGTTGTTGATTGCCGTGTTTGTGGTGACCCAAACTCTGTGCTCCGTTTTGCATTCGTTGAGTTTACTGATGAAGGTAGGGCGACTAATCCTTCTTACTGACTTTGTTACAATGTAGTATCTGTTCATAGCTACTTTCTCAACCTACTGGAGCATAAAGAGTCAATACCGCCCCCACTGGGGCTTAAACCCATGACCTTCCATTTGGGAGAGCCACTTCATGCCACTAGACCACATGGTTATTGGCTTGTATTATGATGAATCTTTGTAGTTATTACATTGTGTTCCTTCTAACTTGGTGTGCAGAAGGAGCGAGGAATGCTTTGAGTCTGGCGGGAACTATGCTCGGCTACTATCCCGTGAGGGTGCTTCCCTCGAAAACCGCTATTGCACCGGTCAACCCAACGTTTCTGCCACAGGTACGAGAGTCCATGCTACTTGAGGTTGTTTCTTTTTGAACTTCTCCTTTCATAAGTATGGTGGTTACGGCTTCTTGGGTGGTATGCAGTCTGAAGATGAAAGAGAGATGTGTGCGAGAACTATATACTGCACGAACATTGATAAGAAGGTAACTAATGATTCTTAAATATTCTATTTCGTTTTGTTAATGAGAATCCGTTAGATGAATCTTAAATGTTTTTTGTGTTTTACATAAATACAGGTTACTCATTTGGATGTCAAACTCTTCTTCGAAACCATTTGTGGAGAGGTTTGTAGTTCGTGTAAAATATTGGAATGTTTTGGTCCGACTTCAATAGCTAATTCGGTTATGAAATGTCTTTGGCCATAGGTTCTTCGCTTGAGGCTGCTAGGTGACCATAATCATTCTACTCGCATAGCCTTTGTTGAGTTTGTAATGGTAAGTGGCAACAACCACGAGCTGTTCACTTCCGCAGCTTTTAGTCGTTTTCTTGCATGCAGCATTTTAACGTTTTTTCCGTGCATATTTGTGGTCGTCAATTTGTTTAAGTGTTGAGTTTGCTGTTTATCTAACGCCAATTGATTAGTTTAATTTTATGTACTTAGTTGGTTTCGAATGATTGAAATCATGGGTGAACGGTGAAACTTTTGGTTTACTTTTTGAGCTTCGGTCAGTTATTCCCCCGACTAAAGTAGTTGCTTATGTTCTTAAGGATCTAGTCTAAGATCACGGAAAAGCTACATGGCTTTTTTGTTGATAAATATGCAGAGTTGAATGATTCCCAATAATGATATTAGCTAATTTGCCCACCCGCGATAAAAAAAAAAAAAAAAAAAAAAGGGAATGTGTGCTGTTAGCTTACCGAAAAAGGGAAAAAAAGTTGTTCTTTTAGTTGAAAATTGATGATTTACGTGTTTGCTTTTAGGGTTTCTTTTTTGAGAGTAATAATATTTCATTTACACCATTCCGTCTTTTGATCACTTCTATATTGGTCTGCAATTAATCGCACTGTATTTACAGAAGTTGTTTTCTTCTCTCGCAGGCTGAGAGTGCTATTGCTGCTTTGAACTGCAGCGGTGCGGTCTTGGGAACACTTCCTATAAGGTACTATATATACTGTACTACATCTGACCTTTGCGGGGGGAAGAAACTGTTTTGTTTTTTTGTGGACATTTAGGTTTATGTTTTGGGTGTTATTATTGTAGGGTAAGTCCATCAAAGACTCCTGTTCGACCTCGTGCCCCTCGCCCAGCCATGCACTGATCCTATATCGTCTACCATCGTTGTTGTCGCTGCTATGTATGGAGCTGTGTCGATCTTCTTGTGTTTATGAATCTATATGCACATAGTTACTTGAAACCTTGTATTGTACTTTGTTTCCAACTATGTTGTTAGTGTCTGTCTGTCTGTCTGTAAGGCCCAAACTGAGAAGAATTTTTATCCTCTCCTCCATTAGAGCTTTGTAGAGTTGTTGGATCGGATGGTATGGTCTTATGAGGCTTACTTCTCGTAATTTATGTTGGCCGCCATTATGCTAAACTCTCTCATAGCCACTGCACTGCATCCAAGTGCTGATGCCAGTTCATGTTTCTAACACTTTTTAAGACTGCTTTTAACTGCTTATATATACTTGTCTTATACAAGTCCTTTTTGGTTTCTAGCATTTTCATTCTTACTGTTTTTGGACATCAATGATACCTGTTGGCTTTTACTACAAGTATTGGTAAAACTGTTACCTCCGGCCACCTCATTTGAGAGGTTGCTCCACTATCCCGTTCTTAATTTTTTTGTGACAAATTTTACTTTTGTAACTAGTTGAGCTGTTTGTGCGAGTTCTTACTATCTGATTCTTAGTTTTTTTTTGTGACAAAATTTGTTTCTGTATTAGTTGAGTTGTTTGTGCAAGTTCTAATGGTGAGATGCAATTCTTAGTTTTTTTATGACAAATTTTACTTTTGTAACTAGTTGAGCTATCTATGCGAATTCTAATAGTGTTTCTTATTCATATTTAATAGGGATTATTTTCGACTGTACTTATAGCGTATACCTGATCGGTATCAAGCCCACTCACCCGATAGGGCCCAGGTCTGAGCATCTACGACTTTATTGTGTGCCTGTCCCATCTAAATCTCAGACCAAGTGTAATTTCACTGGTCAGGTAGAGATCACTATCAACTATACTGTCCTAACAATATTAGGTCGGGACCGACTTATAGTACTTAAGGGCCTTAAGCCTGATTCTCTTAGCCGAATTCGATGGTAGCGGACCCAATGAAATTACGTGTGCGGATCAGCTAAAACGCTGATCTTGTCTTGTATATGATATTCACGTATACAATGTACTAGTGCCGAAGAATTGACATATGTCCTTTTACACATCTTATAAATATTGCATTAAATACGAAGATGGAAGATCCTTACTTTAAGTCCAGAAATCTCTAACCCATTATAGCTTAACTTGAACTTAGGAACTTAAACTAACAAGTAAAGTAAGAAAGGAACCGAAATAAAATCCTATCAATTTTTTTTTTTTTTTTTTTTTTTGAGAACAAAATCTGATCAAATATCTTACGAATTAATAGGAATTTTCGTATTTACTAAATCAATATTGATGAATTGGATACTAGGGCTCAAGCTGTTAACTTTAAAACCAACTCATATTGTAGTTATATGCATTTATATTGCGGGCATATATAATTATATATACACTACATGGATGGAAAAACTAAAAAAACACACTTTTTAGTTGCAAAAGCAAGAGCTTTAATTTACTTAATCTCTACATCAACGACCTTCTTCTCAACCTTCCTCTTTGGGATGGAGATGAAGAGCACTCCATTCTTCAACTCCGCCTTCACCTTATCCTTCTCGCAGTTTTCCGGCAGCTGAAGCCGGGTGTCGTACGCGCTGTAACTCCTCGACCATGAATCATCGCCGTCGTCTTTGCCGCCGTCTTCCTTCTTGTGTTCGCCCTTGATGACAAGAACATCGTCTTCCACCGAAACCTTAACCTCTTCCTTGGACAGCCCCGGCATGTCGAACCGCATCTTGATCTCTTGTTCCTCGTCTCGGATGTCCCACGGCGCCCGCACCTCCCCCGACGCTCCTCTGCTCCTTCCCGGGAATGTCATGGCGTCCTCGAATAGCCTATCCATGGTGTCCAGCATTTGCCGCATTGTTCTCATCGGAGACAGAGGATCCAAAAGCCCTGTAACAATAATTTGTTAGCATATAACCATTAATGTGTATCCAACTATGCTTTTAGTTGAGATGGAGTACATGCTTCAATTTGATATAAGTTCTAAACTATTAATGTGTATCCAACTATCAGCGAGCCACTCGTAAGTGACTACGGCACGTATTGCTTGGAACCTACCCCGAGCATATACCCATGTATCCAACTTAGGCTTTTAGTTGAGATGGAGCACATGCTTCTATGCACTTACCGAAGGTAGGGACATCGAGGGCGGCCATGCGGCTAGGTCGACGCTCAACGGCGGTGGCGGATTGGTTGCTGTTGCCGCCGGTGCTGGCGTGGTGCACGTCAACGGAGGTGTCTTTGTTGTGGTCGCCGGCGGCGGCGGCGGCCTGAGCTCTGAGCTTTAGCGGCCTTCTAACGCCGCCGCATGAAGAGGGCAAGAAAACGGAGCACGGAGCGGGCGTCCTTCTGGGAGTGTTGGACACGGAGGCGTTTGATAGAAAGGGAGAAGCAGAGCACGCTAGAGCACTGGAAGCCATTGAATTGGGAGTTAGTTGTGGAAAGGAATGAAAATGTAGGGATTGCTTGCTAGCTTTGGAGTTTGGAGTTTGGAGTTTGGAGTTTGGAGTTTGCCGGAATCAATGGTGGACGACTGATCTGAGAAAGGAGGGAGGTCGGGGTATGAATTTATAGGGAAGGAGGGAAGATTGGAGAGGAATCGTGAACGTTGGAGATAAAACTTTAACTCTGAAGGAGACAAACATCATATCATAGGCTTGCTTGGGCTTACCTTGGACCTTCTCCCGCATTCTCGAAACCTCGTTTTATTTTCGTCATATTTAGGCATGCAAATGAATTCCATTTGATTTAGTAAAAACAGTTTTTTATTAAAAAATATTCCGTATATAAATTTTTTTTTCCTCTAAAATTTGTTCCTAATATTTCTCTAAGTGTAACTTATAATCATTGAGTCACTCTACTATACTTAAAGAAGAAAGTTAATTATTTAATTAGAAAATATCATGTGAACAGGAAAATTGTAGGGGTGCATGGATATTGGATAGTATTACTTAAAAATCAATTTGATAATTTTTTTTGTTCTTAACCCACCTTATAAATATCTTGGAATAAAGAGAATACAAAGAAGAATGAATAACTAAATGCAAGATACTAATGTTTGCACTTCGATCGTACAATATAATTACTTACAAAAGCTCATACTACAATCAATTGTCACACACTGTTCGATTGCCCAATCGCTCATGCTCCAACGAATTGCTACCTAACGGAGTCAATCGGTCAAGCACTCCAACCGTCCATATAATTGTCCAAGACTTGGTTGGCTTGAGGCTTCCACCGCGGCACCACTGCTCACCAACGTCTAGTAGAGAGTAGACTACAAAGAACTGAAAGAAAGAGAGAAATCAAAGTCTCAGAGATGATGAGAGACAAGAGACCTGGAGTTGTGAGAGAGACAGCGAGTGAGATGAAGTGAGGAGAAGTCGTGACTGTCCAAATGGAGAACCCTAATATATATAAAAACAAAACGATGCCGTTTAGACATATTATATATATATATATATTATTTTAGGTTTTCAGACGGGTTGGTCGAATATTTGTCAAACCCTACTCGATTTTATATTATCCGGCGCAAAAGATTACGGTTCAATTTTCTCCTTTGAATTTGGATATAAATCATTATTGCAATATTGCATGAACTGTGGTCAACACAGCTATTTGAACCACGATTCAAAAAATACATAAAGTAAATTATTCTAATTCATATATTGTTGAGAGTGGAATTTGAACCCACGCCCTTTCTAACCAAAACCTTAATCTAGTGACTTAAACCAACTCGGCCATCTCAACTTATTTGCTATCATTTCAGAACAGACATTCATAACTGGACTTCACTCATTTGTCGTGGGTAAAGGGCAAAAAATTAAAAAATGTATTAATTGTTGAGAGTGGGATTTGCTATCATTTCAGAACAGACATTCATAACTGGACTTCACTCATTTGTCGTGGGTAAAGGGCAAAAAATTAAAAAATGTATTAATTGTTGAGAGTGGGATTTGAACCCACGCCCTTTCGGACCAGAACCTTAATCTGGCGCCTTAGACCAACTCGGCCATCTCAACTTGTTGGCTGCAGTCTCAGAACAGTCGTAGATAATGATAAAGAAAAGTTTTCTCATTTCTGGCCTATATTAGGCACCAACGGCACGCAGGAACCATGATATTTGTTTGTCGTGATACCATGATGCCCCTAGTGACCATCAAATTCCTCAATATTCTTTTAAGATTCTCAATCCGAGATTTCAAGAAACCCCGATTAACTAACCATTGCTGCTGTTTGTTTGTTAGTTTAAAGTGATATAATTAAGGTTATGAAGCATTGCTTTGCTGCAGTTTTGTTTGTTCCTGCCCCAACTGTCACCACACTTTCACTTGGGTTTCAGAGCACACCTAAAAGTCAGTGAATTCCGTCCCCATGCAATGAATTACACAAAATCATTGCAGGAAAACACCATCTCAAACAAACAATTCAAATCCCACTACCAACAGTTCAGCAGCTTAGGCCAGTTCTTAATCGGAATAACTAATACAATGTTAGTTTATGAAAAAGCTTGCAATTGTTACCAGAAACTGGGTTTTGGGTAAAACTCACTTTGTGATCTTAACTAGCAAATGATGATAAATAATAGTCTCAAACTAAGAAAATCAATAGACAACTCTCATAGGTTATCTAAAACTGTGTTTTGGGTAAAACTCACTTTGTGACCTTAACCAGCAAATGACGATAAGTAATAGTCTCAAATCAAGAAAATCAATAGACAACTCTCATAGGTTATCTGAAACTGTATTTTGGGTAAAACTCACTTTGTGAGCTTAACCAGCAAATGACGATAAGTAATAGTCTCAAACCAAGAAAGTCAATAGACACCTCTCATAGGTTATCAAGCTAATTGTCCAACCAAGATAAAACTCAGGGTTAGACTTTTTGTGGGTAAGAGTCAAACAGTGAGGTTTCATTGGCAATTGGGGAAAAAGAGTCTAAAATTTACACCTTTGGTTCAAAGGAATCTGCTGACAGTGTTATATAGTACCAACTTACACAATGGTAAAAGGAACACCACAGTATACATAAATATATAGGACTAAATTTGCACTTTGTAGCAAGCAAAAGCAGAACCAAAAACATAGGGATTTTAAGGTTTGGAACCAAAAACATAACAAAAACTGCTATCTTTGCAGTGTTTTATGGTTCAAAGGAAATCTGCTGACAGTATTTTATGGTACCAACTTACCACAATGGTAAAAGGAACAACATATATATATATATATATGAATAGGACTCAATTTGCACTTTGCAGCAAGCAAAGCAAAGCAACCCAAAAACATAGGAATTTCAAGAAAATTGCTGCTGTCTCTGCAGTCTTAGCTAAGCCACTGGAATGGAACCAATTCAGATGCTGCAACAGTTGGGCTGTTACAAACGCTGCCATCGGATTGCGAAAACAGATTCGTCTTCTGAAGAACGCCCGAGGGCGAGGAGACTGTCGTCCCGGCAGGGCTGATCGAGTCGCCATTGCTGATGTAGGACGACGAGGAGGGGTGGTGGTGGTGCTGCTGTTGGCTCGGCTTCAGAACCTCAGCCAACGGCCCTCCCGAGGCAAAAGGGACCCACGAGACAGGGGATCGCAACGTTAAGTTGCTGCACATAGTATTATCTTCTTCGTCACAGTTTCCTGCATTGCCACCCTCCACTCCCATCTCACTGTCAAGAGTGTTCCCAGCAGCCATTGCCAGAGAAAGTGCATAAGCACAAGATCCAGTGTCTGTATTATTGGTGTTAGTGTTGCTAGCAATGCTGCCATTTGCCCAGGCATTGATGAACTCTTTGTTCAGTGATCCCAAATCTGGATTGAAATACAGATTGCACTCGCCATAATAATCTTTGCAGTGAAACAAGCTCATTTGCTGGAGAATCTGTGCATTGTCTCTGTAAACATTGCTCTCAAATGCCATCAACTGTTGCAATTGCTCCTCAGTTCCTCCTCCTCCCATGGCAGCCATCTCCCAGTCCAAACTCCTTCAATCCCACAAATCATAAATCCATAAAAATGCACAGAAACAGTAAGAAATCCAATTAAAATCACATTCAAGAATCATTAACAGAATAACAGACCTGTGTGATTCATTGAAAGGGGAGATTGAGAAGCTGTGATCCATTCTAGAATCAAGACACTGGGGACCTTCATTCTGCTTATTATCAGAAGAAGAAGAAGAAGCAAGAAGCTGTGAAGGGGCGGGATTTGCAGGCTGGGAAACCACCATTGAAGGAGACTCAAGAACTGGTTGTTGAAGACGAGTTTTCTTGGTGTTATTGTGATCTTCCACAGGCTTTCTTGAACGGGGACGGCCTCTATGCAAATGGCGCTCGCAGTACTTCTGATTGGGCGCCACTTCTTTCGAGCACCGCCATTTCTTGCCGTCCGTTCTCTTGCACCTCCCCGGCTCTAAATCTCTGTTCTTGCCGGAAAATCCCAGAACGCTGCTCCCGCCAGCTGCCCAGAAACACACCAAAATTCAATCTTTCATCTTACCCAAATATGGATCTTGAATATACACTCTGAATCTCTGATCTATTCGCTTTTATCATTGAAAAAGAGAGCAAAAAAAAGCTTACTTTGAGTATGAAAACTGGGAGGAGCAGCATTATAAGCGTCTGTGGGAAGAGGCAAGAGAAGATCAGGCGGAACAGGTAGAGATGCCATCATGTACTTATACACCATAGCTTGCCTCTCCAGTTCCTTCCACTGTGCGCACGTAAATGGAAATCCTAAAGACGTCGCCATTCCTACACAAAAATCTCAGCTTTCTGTATCATAACGCCAAAAAGAGACAGCAAAAGAAGTGAAATGGAGGTTAAAGTGTAAGTAAGTGTGTGTGTATATATATATACCTGGGGATTTGAAGGGCCGCAGGGGAGCAGTGTTGGAACAGTTGAAAGCCTGGGAAAGGCGCACGGCCACCGCGGCGGCGGCGGCGCCGCCGCCCACAGTAAAAGGTGGAACACTACTGTTGGTATGGGGGGGAGCAGTGGCGACATCATCACCGTACATGTATATACTATTCTCGTTTGCTCCGCTAGTGGGGCCCGCGCCTCCACCGCCGCTACCACCACCGTCAAATCCATGATGATGATGATGATGGACATGACGACCCATCATGATATTGTTCTCACCCAACCCATAACTACCCACAACAGCATTTCCGTTCCCGGCGCCGCCGGCCGACGCCGTTTCCTTGTCAGGAACGCCAAACCCATTGACTCCGCCACCGCCGGCACCGTTTTCCATGCTAAAGCAAAAAAAGAAAAAAAGATTCAAACCCAACTTTTTCCTTATCTATGAGTAACAAAAAAGCAACAGCGAAAGATGCTTTTAAAGCGGCCTTGTTTGTTGAGCTGCTTTGTCTTTGAAGGGGAGGGGTAATTTGGGGAAATGGGCTAGCAATGTTTTGCCGCCATTATCGACCTTTGGTATGCTTCCATGCTTCCAACATTCGCACCGTTGTTATAGACAGAGCAGTAATAATGGCAACAATTTTCTTTGCTTTCTCTCTCTTATTATTGCGACATGTATCGTTTTCTGTGTGATAAAGCATGAATAAGGTACTAAAGCCCCCACCTGTGTTACATTATTTTTTCAAACAAAAAAATATACTCCGTATTTTTTTTTCTTATAATAATGTCTTTCGTAAATGTTTAAGATAATGTCAACCCAATATTATTACAAGTAAAATATCAACTCTTTTTCAGTGATGGCAAATGGATCTAAATAATATAAATTAGTTTTTTTTTAAATCTTTTAATGATATGGTTATGGTCCTGAGTCCTGACATGAGCCTCACAAATGTGTTTTGGTTTAGCAAGATAATCCCTTTTTTTTTTCTCATCTCTAGAATAACGTTGTCCGGCTAACTGCCTTCATGCAAAGCTCTGCACTTTTTCGAAGGATGCAAAGTGTTTGTAGGTAACAAAAGACAACTTTTCTACGATGAGCAAACTAGTGTGAAGGAGAGATTCTAGGGAGGCCTAATCCTACTAAAAGATCATACCAATTACCTAGTTATCATGATTTTATAAATATACATGTTTCTCTTTTATTTTTCAACATAGGACTAATAATTCTTTGACCAAATAATTATTATCTCTCTGTATAGACTGTACTGTGTTTTTTTTTTTTTTAAAAAAAATTGAGAGAAAGGGTAGTTTTGGCATTTAACACTCGTTTATTTTACTATCTTTTATCAACTCTTCTCGTCCACCATGCCAAAATTACAACAATAAACATCCCTGGAAAGGTTAAGCCACTGGTTGAATTTCTTTTCATCCACCGGGACGATCTGTTGATTTAATTTCTTCAGGGTCATGATCTTGGGGTTGCGGGTGCAAATTCCCATGGGAAGGTTGAGCCACTAGTTTTTGTTGCTCTACGACAGGAATTTGGGGGTCACCATCACCTACAAGGTTAGTGCCATAACGTAGTACCCTGGAGTTCCATACCATGGTTGATATAACTGAGTGAATTCCTATTGTGGCGTTCCTTGTACGAGGTTTCCTCCAAGTGTACCTGGTGTCGGGGGCAACATAGTGTATGTAATTGGCATATGAAGATTAGGGTTGATCACGCAATTCCAAGGTACTAAAATGGCTGGGTGGACGTTCGTGGGTTCAGCCTGCTGGTTGGGATTCTGACTGACTGGTTGGGTAGGTTGTGTATCATGTCCTGCGTGGTTGGAGGTGAGCTCGTTTATCATGCCTCTCGACCGGTCTAACTGTCGACGCAGATCATCTTCGGAGAGCGTTTCGGCTACATTGTCGGGGTGATATCCGACATGGCGGGTTGAGCCTTCCCTTTGCACGTAGCCTTGGCTCTGGCTCCGGCTTCTTCTGTTGTTTGTCATCTTGATCAAGTAAGGTAAATTTTGACGTGAAGGAAGAAAAGTAACGGGACAAAGAGTGACTCGTTCAAGTCCTCACAGACGGCGCCAATGATAGCATAAATGGAACCGGGAGTTACGAATACGTATGCGGTGAACAAGTAGAAGAGAGCGTTCGTAGGTCAGTCGATCGGTCTACCGGATGACGACTGAGCGGTATGAGGCTACGTTGTGCTACAAGTAACAAAGAATTACAAGTGGATGGTTAAAAGTAGTGAGTATATTGCTATGTGGAGTAAATCTCAAGTAGAGAGATGTTACCAGAGCAGTGAAGATTACAAGTAAAGAGTAATAGTTGTTGTTATGATATGAATATGACAAGTGTGGGGAGACCCTCCTATTTATACTAAACGAGTCGGTCTAAGCATTTAATGCTCCGCTGCAAGTGGCCTAACGTGGCACATTCCTTGCAGCTACGTGTAGATTGACTATCCGAGATAACAGAGCTGTTATTCCTGCAGGTTGTTAGCCGCCGCTCTGCAGGTGCACGTTGGCTTCCATAACTTGTCGTGTAAGCTAAGTCTTCCAGCTTGCAGGTTGCGTCACATCGTAGGCCGACCAGTCAACCTACAGTTGTCGGTAGACCAGCCGAGTGGGTCTCCGTCGGGCAATTTCAAGGGTGATCCGAGAACATCTTATTATGTCACGAGGCCTATCGGTACAAGCGATACTGTTAATCACAAGTGATTTGGTTCCGTCTGATTGATGACTATGATGGACCGGTCGAATAACTCTTGACGGACCAGCTACGACTATACAGATTAGTCCTTTGTGTATTTTCTCATCAATAATATTCTCAGACATGAGGTACGTTTTTGTTATAAACTAATTCGGTTTTCGGGTGCCTATGGGATGGCAGGCACAGGACGTCGCCGGCCTTATGCAATTGCTTAAAGCTTCCTTTGCTGTGTTACTTAGAACCACAATGTGAGATTCACTTAGTTCATACTCTCAAAGCAAGTTTTTTTTTTTTGTCATAAAAAAAAAAAAAAATCAACTCTTCTTCTGTTGATGACGAATGCGTCTAACGTGGAATTATTTTTATTTTTATTGGACCAAAAAGATAGAATAAAAATGATATTATAGTTAATTAAGTTTGGGTAGGTTTAAAGTGGACAACTGAAATGAAGATATTGGACAAATGAAAAGAAGATATTGGAAGAGTGGCAATGTAAGTACAGCAGTACATATGAGTCATGAGTGTATTATAAGTGGCATAAAGAATAATGGTAAGGGAAAATAGGAAGGGTGCAGTGATTATGAACAAATGTTTATGTATGTTTTTATAACAATATATAAAAATTCTGCCCGTTAATCCGTTATAACTAATTAAGTCAAGTCTCAGTTAAACATGTTCGAAACCGTTCTTGTAGTACATTGCTACATAATAAATACTTCATCTGTTTCATTTTATATGTCATACTTACTATTCATTGGTCAAATAACTCTTTCTTCTTTGTTTATTTTTTTAGTATTTTATATTTATTTTTAAATTTAATTTTTTGTGTTTAATAGTACTTTTAGTGTAGTTTCTAAATATATAAATTTTGTATACTAATTTTAAACTTAATATTATAAAAAATTGAATTAAAAATAACTTCAGTTAAGGTTCGTTAATCGAATCAGACACATAAAATCACATAAAATGGGAGAGATGGAGTAGTATAGAACTTTTTTTGTTGTATATTTATTTACATTGCATTTATGTATATGTTTCATTAAACAAAAAAGGTGAGGTACAAACGCAACAAAATATTCTTTAAAAATAATTGTAGTTTTAAAATTTTCTATATAAAAAAATAATACTATTTGTATGAACAGCAATAGTAGTTTAAAAAGAGAGTAGGCCAGCATTGCTCAATCACTCATTGGTTGAAAAGACGGCTGCGATATTCTAACATATTTCGAGTATGAATGAATAAATCGGTGCCATTTTTATTATGTGATGAATTTATTGGAAAATTAAAAATGGGAAAGTTCATTTTAATTAAAAAGGGAGAAATTATTGAACTAATGAACATTTTATTGGTGAAGAACTTTTAAATATTTATTCATTGTTTTCAAAAAAAAAATATTATTCATTTTTTTGAAAACTATTTATTCATTATTTAATACATTTAAATGTCGATTTTTTGTTTTAAGTCTCAAAGATAAGACTATAAGATAATAAGAGTGATTTTGAATCTTGTTCCCTTCAAAATGAATATGCTTAACGTGATAAATCTTTTATATTAGATTGACATAGAGGTGTCAAACAAACAAGTTTAGACAAGTCCAATCCAGCGACCTATTTCTTTTTTTAGACCAGGTCGATATGGTCCAATTAAATTTTGGACCGAACTTAGCCCAGGCTAAAAATAAAAATAAAAACCCGACCCTATCCATAGTCATTTTGTATATTTGATTCTATTCACTTCTCAATGAATATACTTAATGTGGTAAATTTACTACGATAGATTGACATGAAGAATATGAAGTGAATCAATTTTTTACCATTTTGACGATAAGTTGTTGGTTTCTCTCGTCACCCAAAATATACCCACGTCATTCTATATTTTTTAAAACAAACTATTATTATTGACGGTTTTATCGGGAACCAGGTCCACCATAAACCAGGTATATAGGTACAGAATGAGTGATAGGAAAATAGTAACTTTATTACTCGGTCGCTAGGCCCAAAATAGTACGTACAAAGCCCGATATATTGGTCCAAAACGACGATCCAAATAATACAGAGTTTTTTGCACTTTTAGTCCCGCGACTATAATGGCACTGACAGAATTGATCCACGACTTTTGAACCTTGCAATTTTAGTCCACGACTATTGATTTTTTTTGCAAAAATGGTCATTCCGGCCACTTTTCCGTCAAAATTTCACCGGAAAAAAAAATTCTCCATTTTTAGCCGGGTTAAAATTGACATTTTACTTATCTCAAAAAATTAAAAGAAAAAAATTGATATTTGACTACATACAATATTACTGGGCTACATACTACTGCCCCAGGCGGCGGAATTCTTGGAGCAGGCAGGGCTGTCAGTAAGCAGCGGAGCGGCCGTGGCGTTCCCCGGGCTAGTTGAGTTATCCGGCAGCAGCATTGGAGTGGTACATGTACTCCGCTGCCTGGGGAAGTAGTATGTAGCCCAATAATATTGTATGTAGTCAAATATCAATTTTTTTCTTTTAATTTTTTGAGATAAGTAAAATGTCAATTTTAACCCGACTAAAAATAGAGAATTTTTTTTTCCGGTGAAATTTTGACGGAAAAGTGGCCGGAAAGACCATTTTTACAAAAAAATCAATAGTCGTGGACTAAAATTGCAAGGTCCAAAAGTCGTGGATCAATTCTGCCAGTGCCACTATAGTCGTGGGACTAAAAGTGCAAAAAACTCAAATAATACATAAATAATAAATAATATAGCCCTAAAAATGAAATAGAAACAATAATATTATTATAATTAAGAAATTAATTCTATGTACTAACCGGTCGAAATTAATTTATTAAATTAAAATAATAATGATTTATTAATATAATTGCCTAATATAATTATCTTACTTTTACACTTTTCTTTTGAAAAATCATACAAATTTACATTACTCCAAATGAATTGAAAAATTGAGTTGTGAGTTCTGAAGAATGAAATCAACAAATCAACCTCAACAACAAACATTATATATAATGAAGTTTTTTGAAATTTGTAAAAATTTAACTTTATTATATTATAATATTATAATTGCTATTAAATTTATTATTATTTTTTTTTTTTTGCTTTCTAGCACAAATTTACAAGAGTAATAATGAAATTCTCATGTTTTGATTCTAAGTATTGTTAATTCCAAACTACCGCCTATTTTTTTTTTTTCCCTTTGAAACATATTTATTGTACAATAAAAATAATTACATAAATCGTATATAGGAACAAAACAATTCTAAATTAAATGATTTAATTCCATTTTTTTTTACAACTTAATGGCTTTTAAAAATTTTTTCAATTTTCTCATTTTTATTTTAGTAATCATATAATTGTCTAAATCATATTGCAATATTCTTTTTTAAAGATAATTGCAAACAACCGAATCATATATTATTCAATTAATTGGTGATACTTTGTACTAATCTTATAATCACATAAATGTATACTTCCAAGTATTAACTAAATATATATATATATATATATATATATATATATATATATATATATATATATATATATATATATATATATATATATAATAAAAAAAATTATCTGTGCATCGCACGGATAATTTACTAGTGTGTGTGTATATATACAAATTTTGAGTTGGTTACATGGGTGAAGTTTGAGAAAAATGACCAGGGATCGAGTCTCACCATCGACAGTGTGAGAGTAACCTCTCACAAGTCTAGTCGTTGTGGTTCAACTGAATGTTGAGTTACCATGATTTATATCTTTCTAAATGTTTTATCATACCGGAAAGAATATATATATATATATATATATATTAAAGTGTAGATAATCTATAAAAAGATATGCTGAAACATAATACTCCGTCAGTTAGCGACAAAGTAGAGGGTAGGGGGTGGGGGTGACAGTGAGAAGAAAAGTAGAAAGCACGGAAAGGAAAGCATTAATGAAGAGGGAGAAAGGAGAGGGGAAGACAGCTGTAGTATAAGATAGCCTGTCTCTATCATTCAGAATGAGACAATTAGTATACCCCCAACCCCCTCATCCCCACCCTCTCACCCACCCCACTACATTTTTTTTCTCTCTCAATTAAGAAAAAAATTCACAATTATTATCTATATATGAAATAATATAATATGTAAATTAAATAAAAAATAACATTTATGCTACAAGCTTGACTGTGAATACATTTGACAACAAATAATTAAATTTCATACTCGTACTACATTTTTTTGTTTTTAGCAAATATTATTATCACATTTTTCTTAGTGATGAAAAAAATTTACAGTTATTATTTGATGGTGTATCTAAATCTCACCTTATAACTCTAGTTGAAAAAGATTATCACATTTTTTAATTTGAATTAATTTGGTTCACAAACTTTAGAAAAGATATTTATTTATTTATTGTTTAATTGTTAGCTAAGGCATTAAATATGGATTGCCGAAATCAGATTTGAAGATATGTTTGTATTTAAAATAAATAAATTATAATCCACTTAAATACATGGGTGATTTTTTTTTATTAAAAAAACATTTTAACCTTTAAGTTATTGCTATATAGCAATTTTAGTTGGTAGTCTTTTCTATGTGACTATGTGAGCGTAGTTATATAAATAATTCTTAAAATTTAAATCACTACACAAAATTGGCCCTGTTGTAGTGCAAACTGTAGGACCAAAATCACAATAGGATTAAAATTTTGAGGACAACTATACATATACAATCATACATACACATAGAAAAGTAATTTTTTTTTCTTTTTTTTGCCCGCATAATTATTCACTGGTTCAGTAGGTAATTTTTTAGAGAAAAGACCAAGATTTAAACTTTGGCAATGATAGTGTAGGTATTATGTCCAAAGTAGATAGATTCCTTGTACACACCGACACCGTGACTTTTGTATAGATTTGATATTGACCTACCATTATTCTCTTATTTTTGGTCTTCAGATCTTTTATCATCCTTGAAGGTGTGAAACAATTTATTTTTTCGTATATTGTTGATGTTGCTTGCTCAAGTTTTGTTTATGATTGTAAACGTTCGTTTATCATTTTTTTTATTTTCCAAAAAAAAAAAAAACTTTTATTCACTTCTACCTAATCGCTAAAACTATATAACATTGTTAATTTGTTTCTACTATGAGATGATGAAAGCATTGGTAGTTGGATAACATGATGATTTTAGGTTAAAATTGGGGACATCAAATCACAATTCACAAAGAGGGTAAACTCAAAGGCTACTTTAGTATGGAAATGGGTCAAGAATTATTGGGATGGAGGGTGAAAGTAGGTATGTTTCCAGGTAAGGAACATGCAGCAAAATGATTACAAATACATGGGACACAACCTTAACCTCACCCTTCATTGTTCTCAGATTCCCAAGCTACCACCCTCAGGGAAACCACACTACAACTTGTTCCACAGTAGTACACATGTAGATAATTTAGTACATGTTTTACCAGAACCTTTTACAACTACTAAAGTGCTCCCCTGCTACCCTGCTATCTTCTTCAATTATTGTCACACTCATTCTTACGTTAGGTTTACATCTTACGCCAGACTAATCAGGTCCCGAAAACTCCTGTCCAAGAAGTGCTGTATGAGATATCCAGACTACTCAAATCCCGAGAACTCCTGTGACCAAGAATTGTTGTATGAGGTAAATTGCGAGTTGCTCGAGCAGCCTCCCAGTCAGTCGTGCTCGTTCATGCATTGAACACAGGTATTTACTCTCATGTTTGGTGGTGAGGATAAGCTATTCTGGGTTGGTGTTTCAATCCCCTTCTTGGTCTGTCCAGGGAGTCAAGATTCTGTTCTAAACTAAGCCACTTGAGAGGATTGATAAGTGAAATCGGAGAATTTAGTCTAGTAGTAGTAGAGATACCGGATACAGATACACTATAGAGTTCAATGGACATGACAGCTATTTTTAGTTTAGGATTCAACAATGACATTGAAACAACATTCTTCAAACACATGAAACAGCCCAAAGCCCCAAACCTTAATGCAATTGTAATATCGAAGACTTTAGTCTCATAGTGACAGAGATACGAGACATTTGATTTAGAATTCAACAATAACATTGAACAACATTCCTCAAACACATGAAACAGCCCAAACTAAACATGATTTAACAGTGGAAAACATCACAGAGATGATGACAGACACTATGAGACAGACAACATTCATACCTAAACCTAAGATTGAACAAAAACATATGTGAATTCTGTAAAACAAAAAAAAAAACCCCATTTTTCTACCTTTGCTTTGCCAAGGTATCATCACAATTCACAATTCACAATTCAAACTCATCATCAAGCTTGAGAGCCTCAGCAGCAGCTTCTTCCTCCTGGTCATCGAGGGCGAAATAAGGGCTGTGAGCCTTAGGCCTGAAGTTGTATCCCGTGAAGCCATAGAAGGCGAGCGTGGCCAATTCAGAAGCCACCACGCTAGTCCATTGATAGCGGTACGAAGTAACAGTCTGGAGAGCATAAACCACGACTCTCGTGAAGTAAATGTAGCAGATAACTATAACATAATACTGCCTAAACAACGTCAACTTATTCAAATTCACAGCAGCCTTGCCATCAGTCTTGGCCGCCTCTCGCAAGTTCTTGATCGACCACACGATCGGGAACAAAACCGCGCAGCAACACAGAATATCGACCACCAAGAACACCTGCTTCCACCTATACGAATTCTCCCCAAAGGGTCCAGTCTCATCAGTCACAACCCGAGCCACATTGGCCACAACTTGCAAGGGAATCACTATGATCAGAACATTTCTCTCTTTATCTTGCAAGTAAGGTTTCAAGAATGACCATCCAGTCCCAATTAGTACTATCAATGTGAAGAGTGAAATCCCTTTCAGGAAACTGAATATATAGAACAAAACATCCCATCCATGGGCACTCCCAGTTTTTGAAATATACCATTTATCCTCAGCCTCACAGAGTAAATTCAGAGCTTTAAGAATCAGAACGGCAAGCATAAACAAATGAATTCTGTAAACAGATAAGCGGTTTTTGTAAAGGGTATGCACCCAGAGAATACCCAGGATTAGATATACCAAGAAAAGCAAGAAATATATCACCGGGAGAAGGGTCTTGCCGGCGGGGAGAAAATCCGGGCGCTGAGTTCTGGGGTTGAGGTTGTACATGACGGAGTGTACATTCATGGAAACTTCTAGATCCGGCTCGCAATTTGCGAATAGGAGTGTGTATTGGTTGGGCTCCATTACCTCCACGGAGCTGGCGAAGGTTTTCGTGGAGGTGTGGAAAATGAAGACTTTATTGGCGAGGTCGGAGTCGAGAGGGCACTGGATTTTTCCGGCCCGGAGCTTTCGCAGAACGTGGAGCCAAGCGTCGGCGGTGCAGTAGAAGAAACCCAGCCTGGATATGCGGGGCCTGGGCAGGGTTTCCGGCGAGGAGAAGGAGATACCGGTGACGGAGAGATTGAGCTCGCCGTAGGCGGTGAACCCGAACGTGTCAAAGGGAATTATGGAACGCCGGTCGGATCTGATCTCCTTTGTCCGGATCTCGGCGACGGCAACGGCGAGAAAGAGAGCCAATGCGAAGGCCACCAGAGAGAAACGGCGAAAAGCTGCCATGGCCATAAAGAAGCGAACTTTAGCGCTTAAACACAAGATAATCAATGGCGAATCCGACAGCAAGGAGGGAACAGAGGTCGTTTGCTTTAAGGTTACGGTTGATGGCCGGCGGGACAACGGCCATGGACCTTGGAGTCTTGTTCACTCAACGACACCGTTTTAATCTCAACACCCATGCAATTCGACGACCAAATCGACAAACTACGAACTATGTCGTCGTCTTCAACGATGTCGTTTTATTGCTGAAAAAAACACATCCATAAACGGCAAGGACAAAGACGATGCTATGTCGTATGCTTCCGATCTTTACGGAGATAACATTTGCATAAGACATATTTCGAAGATTTGTACACTAAAAGTCTAAAACCAGTGCATCAGATATTTCAATTTTGGTACAATATTAAGAAAAAAAATAAAATATTATTCTCTTAATTATAACATTAAACGTATGCATTGATCATAGTAGAAAGAATGATTGGAATGAGAATATCCGTTGAATGTGTCATTAGCACCAGATTATTAAACACCAAATCAAGAAAGATACAATGATGCATGCATTGCACATCTCAATTGGGTTTTAACTAGTACATTGTGGGCAAAACATACATGCTGTTAGCTAATTGAGTTAGTGACTTTGACTAATTGATAGCATTAGCTGATTGTCAAGGGTGGGTGTCAGTTCAGTTCGGGTGACACTCGAGTTTTATTTTGAACATTCAAAAATTTCGGGTGATATTTTTGACACCTTATATCCGAACTAAATTTAATTCAGATATATTCAGTTTGGGTGAAATTATTTCAGGTTAGTTTAGATATACTCAAAATTTTATTTTTATTATTTTTGTATTTGTATTTTTTCATATACTATCAAACTAAAAATAAGACAAAATACTAATTACTAATTGAGAGACTTTTGAGAATTAATATATTATTAATTATGAAATACATTTAAAATTAAATATCTAATTTATATATTATATTTATAATAAACTTTCGATTAGTTCGGGTTTTGGTTCGGATATGGTTAAATTTTTAACACCCGATATCCAAACCAAATTTATATTCGGATATACCAAATTTTAAAATATCCGAACCGATAACTATTTGGGTTCGCTTGAAATTTAAAATTCGGTTCGGATTTCGGGTGGTCGTTCGGACAATTTAAATTACGCCCACCCCTATTGATTATAGAAAAGTGTTTGGTAAATTAGTTGTTAGCTGATAGATGATTATATGCAAAACGACTTTCTAAAAAAGTTAATCGAAAAAGCTACATTGAGCAACTTTTTGAATTTTAACTTTTTAGAGCAATAAGTAGTAACAAAAAACTAATTAATCAAACACTCATATTAATTATTTAACAAGTCAAACAGCTAATTAAGAGTGGTCAAATAAATTAAAATTATCTGATAAGTTAACTATGTTACCAAACATGACCACGATCGAACATAGTAATTACAGTGTAAAAGTCATGGCTTTTTGTGAGCACAAATACTCGTCTGAGTTACTATAATTTACCCTATACTATATGGAATCCTTTCATCTGACATTGAGCAAGAGCAGTTAGCAAGTGGAAGCTAAGTAAACAAAGAAATGGAGTTGTACTAAGAAAATTCTGCAGAATTTGATCATCTTCCAATACATTCCAACAACTTAAAAATTTTTTGGTCAGTCTTGTTGTGTGTTCATTATCGTATCCAATTTTGTGTGGAACTAAGATTTCCCAAACAAACATGGAGATGAGGCAGATGGCAGATGAAGAAGAAATGGATTTTGAAGAATTCTGTTCTTCTGTGCTGCTGCAATCAGTTCACTGCATCTTAGCTTGAGGCTATGTAAACATATTTTATTATTGTATATATTTTCATCATTTTGTGTTATATGAAAAATTCAAAGTAATGTTTGACAAATGTATCTATCATATTCAAATAATTATATATTTCATATGTTCTTGAACATAATATAATTAACAATAATTATAAATAATAACCGACACAATCATAATTTTGTTAGTATAATATTTTTAATCATGAAATGATTAATATTTTTTTTTTGTATTCTATATATTTACATATTTCCTCATTTGTCATTTCTTATATATTTTTAAAAGAGTTAATTTCAGCATTGGTCCTCCGACTATTGTGATTTTCTATAATTAATGTTAGTGTTTTATTTATGTAAGAAAAAGATCCCAACATATAATTGACAATATTATTATGGCAAATTAAGATAGGGTTAACTTGGTGTCTATTTGTCCTTAGAGAAGACTGACTGATCAGTACAATCAACAGACGCACTGCTAGAACAAGCCATTGAAGATCTGATAAAGGAAAATTTTCTAAAAAGCTGGGACGTGTTTTCAAGATGACAGTTTTGGAAAGAGTATCAGCGGTTCAGCGTGAAAGGTATGAACCGAATCTTAAAGATTTCTTTTTTCACAAAAAGTCCTACCATCTACAATCAGATATATTTTTAGAGAGTGTCCAAATCAAAGAAGTATATGTATCCCCATTCGTTCGAGAATTAGGGTTGCATTCATTGAAGCCACAACACTCTATACTAAACAGAATACACATATCTGGTTATTATGCCTCTTCTCAAGACAATAAGTTCTTGGTGATTATGAAGAAGAACTTGAGAAGTATCAACGTTGCTTAAATGATAGGACGCGAAGATCACTCAGTTGTGGGAACAACGTGGGACTGCATCATTGAAGCGGACTGCATCAGAGTTAGCTCTCCAATTGAAGGGATTTCATTGGACTTCTGCATGCGTGGCTCTCCGACTTCAACAATCCACTAAACCTTTGTAGACTGGGTACTGACCTTGTGTGGAGCACTTGGGTGAGATTATTCTTTTCTTTACCTTTGTACATTGGATTATGAGTTAGTGGATTGGACGCCCCGGTGATCGTCCCCTAGATCTAGATACACATTGTATCGAACTGGGTAAACAAACATATGTGTTGATTTACTTTCTGGCTTTAGTCTTCCGCTTCAAATTAATTTGCTTTCTATCTGGATGACTGGTCGATTAAGTATCTGAGTCACTCAGTCCAGTATTCTGGTTGCTAGAAACTAAATCAATATTCTTATACTGAGAATATGCAAAATTACAATTAATTTTCAATTTTTATTTTGGACAATTTAGACACTTGACTATCAAAATGTTTCCATGTTCTTCCGTTACAAGCTGGTTAATTGAACGTTCAATAGTGGGGTAAAAATGTCTTTTAACATGCTTTCTGTTTAATACCTTGGCGGCGACGGCGACGACAATATTTTTCGCAGCTTCTCCTTCTTTTTAGAAAAAGAGATGGACGTCAAATGGACGCAAACAGACTCAATGAAATAGTGAACTGGGGCAGCGTCGTGGCGACCGGCGACGGATATGGACGTAAACACCGGCCTCAACAGCGTCGAAGATGGAAACATGGCAGCTTCTCCTCATCTTCCTTCTTTTCCCAGCTGCTTCATTTTTCAGCCTTATGCCATTTCCACTTGGACTTGGACCAATTTGTTTTTCATTTTTCAACATTATTAAAAAAAAAATACACAAACAAATTTAGAAGAAGCAGTCAACCACCCTTCACTCTATTTCACCACCCACCCACATTACTTTCCTCCTCCTCCACTCGAAACCTATAAAAAGTGAATAAAAAAATAAATTAAAAAAAAAAACTTTTTTTCCCTTCATTAATCGGAGCTTTCACTCACTTCCTATTTCCGTTAACAGGTGGTGTTTTTCGTCGGGTGGTTGTTACTTATTAGAAGAGATAGTTTGTGATCGATTGAGATTTGAAATGGGTAAAGTTGTGTGGGTTTTGTTCTTGTTTTTGAGTTTGGTGGCTTCGTCTTAAGCTCAGAATTTTAAGAATTTCGGTTTCTCCGGCAATAGAGTATTTGCTACCTGCAACAATCTGTCGGAGCTTAATTTCGTTCTCCACTAGATCTACCACCAGTCTAACCCACCGCCGATATCGCCTACCGCCACGGCGGGGTCACCACATCCAACTTGGTAGCTTGGGGGCTGAACGTCGGCGGATTCGGGATACAAGGAACGTAGTGTATAGTGGATTTTCAAATCTCTAGTGACAATATCCACGACAACATCTCTCCCATCCTAGCTAAATCTGTCGGTCGCCGCGGCGCTGCCTCAGTTCACTGTTTCATCGGGGCAACACACTTGTTCCGCATATCCAGCGCCGTTGAGGCCGGCGTTTGCATTCATTTCCGTCGCAGGTCGCCGTGACACTGCCTCGGTTCATTGTTTGCGTCCATTTGACGGCCATCTCTTCTTCGTAAAACAAGGAGAAATCGCGAAAAATACTGCCCCAACGGCGTATAGAGAGGAGAACGACAACGTATTATACGGAGAAAATGTTAAAAGACACTTTTACCCCTCTGTTTAACGTTTAATTAACCAGCTTGTAACGGAAGGACCAATATTGAAAACATTTTGATAGTCAAGTGTCTAAATTGTCCAAATTAAAATTCGATGACCAATTATTAAAAATTACGATAGTCACATGCATGACCAATGCTAGAATTAACTCTTTTTAAAATTATTGTATTCTGTTTTCTTGTTATATAACATTATAACCCATGCACAAATAACTTAATAAACTAGCTTAAACCTTTGTTTTTTTTTTTAGGGGGGGGGAGGGGATGAAACCAGCCGTCACTACTTGATGATGTGTAGTGAGTAAATTTCGTTCCTGTCTAATAACTTCCAAACTACACAAGAAAGGTAAACTGCATTAGAAAAATCATGTGTGATGGACTCTACCAAGATGGTATTTGATAGAATCAAACTCATGACCTTTAGGTAAACATAAATTCTATCCGGCCTATTAATATATAGGGCAGTTTGGCTAAGTGATCAAAGGCGCCAGATTTAGACTCTGGTCCAAAAGGGTGTGTGTTCATATTTCGACAGTTGTCAAATGTTCGAGTTGGACAATTTAAAAATGGTAAAAATTTGGGTATACCCAAAAAAATTACTTTTTTTTTTTTTTGGAAAAAAAAGTAAAAAATTAAAATGAGCAGAAAATAAGGTTTGTTGGTCAGTGAAGATAACTTCTAAATATAGGGAAATTGATTATCCATCTGTCCACCTTCCATCCTTGCCTCATACATTACCTAGCCGCCTAACTACCATACTATACTGTTATTCTTATTAAATAACAAAAATACAATGTAACTGTTGATGAATATAAAATAAAAATACTATTTTTACTTTTTTTTTTCTGTTATTGTATTTTTGTATTAAATGATGTGTTTTTCATCACAATTGTTTTATTTTTCACGTCCATTGTTTGCTCAAATTATT